TCAGTGAGACTAGACACAATTTATACTGAGGAATGGCATTTTCTTTAGAAGGCAGATGATATTCAGTTTTGTATAAATTTGATGTAAAGGTTTAGTTGTAAAAAAGAAAAGAAGATAGAAAATACGTTTGGAAGTATGATTTCGCCATACGAGTATTTTATTTGAAGGAGATTATGTTCTAGAAATTGTTGAGAAATTTTGAATATACAGCTGAGATTTCTATCAGAGGAGAAGCATTTTGCTTCAGATGCTTTCTTAGTTATTTGATTTATACGTGATTTATGATTACATTTATGCAGTTGACGCACCATTTCTGACTCAGGAGTCAGGAAGCTGCAAATAGTTGGTCACTGAAAGGTGTGTTGAAGGGAAGTACAGCTAATGCTTACCTTATTAGCTTTTCTGTTTTCCTAGGCATCTGCTTCTTTAGGTATAATATGTATTATAGTGTTTTGAGTACAGAAGTATAAAGGGAGAAGCTCCTGCCTGTGGCAGGGGGGCTGAAACTGGATGATCTTCAAGGTCCTTTCCAACCCAAACCATTCTATGAGTCTATGATTCTATAAGCCTAATGATCCCATGCTCTGTGCCTGAAAAAATGTGGCTGAAAAATTCTATATATTTACTTTGTGTGTCTTGCTTTTGTTTTAGGAATTAAATAAATTGTTGAAGTTATTTGGAACGGTATTCTCATACTGTGCAGAGTTGCTGTTATTTTTGTTGTCCAAAGGACCCATAGTTCTGAGTATTCTTTTCCTCTGAAATGGTGGTGCTTACCACTTTGTGTGTCTGGCTTTGTGGAATTAATTGTAAGACAAAGAATTTTAAATAACTCCTAGAAAAATGAAGGTGAAAGTTGAAGACCTGTAATGAAAAAAAGGAAAAAAAGCAGTCGTAAAATTTGAAAACTACTAATTACAATCTGAGTAAGATTTTATAGTCTTGCACTGGCTAAAGTTACTACATTAATGTGTATGCCTTGCTTGTGCTGGGAAAACAGTGCCTCAATTTAGAGTGATACAGCTTTATGGGAGAGAGCTCTTTTGGAAAACTAGAGACAAAGTTCCATCGTGTATACCTCCGTGTCACATAGTCCTGTTTTCCTTTGTGTTTGATATAGCATCAATAAGTTTTAAAGAACACTGATTTCATGAAGGAGCCAGCGGTGTCTTTAAAAGTTGTTTTAGTAAAGTCTAAAATGTTGTCTGATCCTGACTTGGCATCAGATAGCATCTTATTCAACTTGACAAGTGGAGGGGTAGGGTCTGAAGTAAACATTAATATTGCTGTGGCAGAATTATTTTTGATTGGAGGTGCAAGACGAAGAACATTTCTACTTTATCTCTCTCTCCTGTGCCAACCTACCCTAAGACTTTAAATATGAATGTCTGTTTTTCCTTCCCTATCAGAGTCCATTTTGGTACTAAGATAGAGTCTGACAGTGACATGTCAGCTGTACCTGAAGGCTGGTATGGTGCCAGCTGTTAATCAGGGTAAGCAAATACTCAATGTACATAAAAGGTTTTTTTGGCTTTGAATATGTGCCTCACAGTAGAAGAGAGAGCATTCGTGGATTTTAAGTGATAATAGTGTAATTAATGTAACTTAAATAGCTTTAAGTCATAATTTTGTCTACAAAATGCTGTTGCAACGTAGGAATTTTGTCAAAGCGTCTTTGCTGCTCCTGTCCCCAGAGTGCTGAAAGGTGATAGTCACTCGCTAATGCTCCGACAGAGATAGTGGCCTTTTTCGTGGGCAGTCTATGTCAGACAGCATACTGCTAATATTCACAATATGCTGTTAACTTTTAACTGCCCTTGTTTGAGACAGAATTCAATTAAAGCGCTATGTTTTACATGTCTTTCAATTCATTTTATTATCCAACGGAATTAGTGGATGCTGGTTACTACAGAAGACAGAAAATGCACAACGAAACTGGGTTTCAGACTGAAATTTTAAGAAGAAGCTATCTAGCGTTTGCTGGTAGAGGAAACGTCCCGACTAACAAGGGGGAAGATGTTGCAAGCAAATGGCAGTTTTTATACAGGACTAAGTTCAACTTCCAAGAGGGAATTTAGCCATGATAGAAAACTTGTAATTGTACTTGTAGATGAATTTGCCACATACTGTTACTGAGAATTAAAATGAAGCTTGTAATCGGTGTGGTTGATTCGGATCAGGGATTTCACCAGTCACCATCTTATTTTTACTTTTAGCCAAACTATTTAAATTAGCATAGGAGACAGTTGTTATTTTCAAACCTTAAGCATGCATTGGTTTGCTTTTTGGTTTGTAAAAACATAACCAATTGCCATGCCATTTCTCTCTGATGACATTGTGAGGAAAGAAGGATCAAGTGTTGCCAAAAGTCCTGTTATGTAGAACAATGGAAAAGGTCAAGGTTTCCGTTCCGTTGGGTTTCTCAGCTCTGACTGCTGAAGGATGTTCTAACTGAGGTACGACATCAGGCCTGAGTGAACCCTGTGGCTTTTCGAGGCTGCATGTGAGCTCTGAGGCTGGTGGGAAGTTGTGGCTCTGGAGAGCATCATGCAGACACACTTGGACTGGAGCTGGTCCAGCTCCAGCAGAACTGGCAATCACAGAATCACAGAATCTTCTAGGTTGGAAGGGACCTTAAAGATCATCTTGTCCAACCGTCAACCTAACTGACAAAAATAGACACCTGCACAACAAACAAGGAGCATCATCACTAAACCAGACCTCCCAGCACTACATCAACCCGTCTTTTGAACACCTCCAGGGATGGGGCCTCAACCACCTCCCTGGGCAGCCCATTCCAATGTCTGATAACCCTTTCAGTGAAAAAATTGTTCCTAATATCCAGCCTGAACCTCCCCTGGGGCAACTTGAGGCCATTTCCTCTTGTCCTGTCGCCTGTGACTTGAGAAAAGAGACCGACCCCCACCTCTCTACACCCTCCTTTCAGGGAGTTGTAGAGAGCAATAAGGTCTCCTCTCAGCCTCCTCTTCTCCAGGCTGAATAACCCCAGCTCCCTCAGCCTCTCCTCATAAGACTTGTGCTCCAGACCCCTCACCAGCTTTGTCGCCCTTCTCTGGACCATGTCGCCATTCTCTGGAATGAATGGGAACAGTGGAGTCCTGGAATTAAACTGCCTCCATGCAGTCTGTTTCATATATGTTCTGGGAATGTTGTGGAGGCCCACCTTCAGCTCAGGTACAGCTCCGTGTTGTTGGGCTCCATGTTTCAAAAAAGCAGTTTGGGTGCCTCAGCCTTGAGGCTGGCTTTGGAAGCAGTACAGCTGTGCTGCTCGTGGACTGTGATAACAGAAGACTGTCTTGGCCCATGATGGCTCTATGCAAAGCCTTCAGGTCAGGTGTCTTACCACCTGTGGCACAAGAATTCTGCCTACAGAAGACTGAGAGCTGGCTATATTAAAATGATAAATAACAAGCAGGAAAAATATAATACGTGGTGCTGCTATGGGTTTTTCCTTCTCTCCACGCACCCCCGAGTTCAGAGAGAAGAGATTCATTTTAGAGAGAAGAGGCAGTGCTCTTTTACTTTATCTGAGAGGACATACAGAACTGTAAGTAACTTCCATGTAGGGTTTCCGTGTGCTGCTTTGCCGTTTTCCTTTTCCAGGCAGCACAACTGATGTGTTATCATTCTCGTTGTATATGGCAGAAATGCTTTGAGAGCACATAACCACAGAGCTTTGCTTTGCTGCATTTTTGTTCTGAAAAAGAAACTAATTAACTGTAACCTGACTTCAATTTGTAGGACAGAGAAACTCATTTATAAGGACAAGCCGTCAACTAGGAATAATTCCTAGTAATTTTTGGAGATTAAATGTTTTGCTTTGTCTTTCTCTTCTCTGCAGTCTTGCAAGTGCTAATATGGATAATGAATCTTTCCTGGCAGATAAGGTTTTATAGGAATCTTTGCTTACTTCCATAAAACTAAGTAGTCTGCGACATTCCCTGAGGGATGGTACTCATTGCTGAAGCATATTTTGTGTTTTGCAGGTTAAGAAGTGAATATTAGATTAAGTGGGGATAGGGAACAGTTTGTGTACAATTCTGCACCTATTCTTCTTTTATTTAGTGAATAGTGGAAAGTGCTTGTGCATTCCCTTATGCTCTCCAGCCCTGCTCTGATCTATCAGTGTTTAGATAATCTTCCATTCAGCTGCAGTGTAAGGCTCAGTTTCCATAAACACTTTTATTTATTGTTATTCTCTGTATTCCTAAGTTTTTCTGGGGAAGAAATAGGGAGGGAGTCTCCTTTTTTTTTATTTTTTTATTTTCTTTTAAGTGGAGTCTTTCTTTTCCACCAACTCTCTCTATTTCTTCACTCTAGAGCTGGTACTCTTCTTACCCTATTCAAAAGATTTGGAAGAAAGAATCCCAATAGACTTCTACCTGATTAGCTTTGGTTTCGCAGTCTTTATAGCTGAAAAGAGACAGTGGAATATGTCATCCAAAGCAGAGATGAGAATGGGAAGATAAAAGTTTAGTGATTATTAATGAATTGTTGAATCCTTCCATTGAATTGTAATACATAGAAAGGAAATGCAAGACACAGCATTTTAGTGTCTAAGGAAGCAGTAAATGTGGTTGTATTTGACTCTGCAAACAGTGAATTAATGCTTTGGGTGTTCATATCCTATTAAACTTTATAGTTCCAAATTGAAAAAAAAAAAGAATCAGTTGGTAGCTTTTGTCATATTCTGGGTATATCTTTATTATGTGGGAAAACAACCCCCAAATATATATTTGCGTGCGAGTTAAAATTCACGGCCACAAGTGAACATTTAAAAATTAAAAAGTATTAGGTACAACAGTGTTAATATATGAATTTATTAAATATAGGGATTTGTCATGCATTTAGCAACATACAAAGAGGTAATATTGCAACATATTTGTTGACACTTTTGTTAAATTATTTTATCTTTTTTTTTGAGATTTGTATTTTGATGTACTTATACTTTGTACTTATACTTTGTACTTATTCATCAGAGAAAGCAACCAGTGAGATGAACACTGCAGAGGACTGGGGCCTCATCTTAGACATCTGTGATAAAGTTGGACAGTCACGCACAGGGTAAGTGATTTTAGAAATTTCCTTCCCAAACTTTTTATATTTTGTTCCTTCAGTCTCAGATGAGAGGAATGGAATTTTTGTTACCTTACATAGGCTTTTGCGATAGCTCAATTTGATTTGAATTTCCAGCTAAAAGGAAAATGTATGGATTTTCTACTCAAATACTTTGCAGTTCTTCCTTTGGAGATACTAGCTGATCTGTTATAGTTAGGACTTGTGTACAGCAGCTTTTCACCAATGTAACAGAATAAACAAACTGATCTGTTTTAGCAGTGTCACTGTAAACCCAGGAGACTTCATCAGGGATTTTTCTTCACACAATCATAATCTAGGTTGGAAGTGACCTCCAGAGGTCATCTTTTAGTCCAACCCTCCAGCTCGAAACAGGTCTAATTAGATCAGGTTGCTCAAGCCTGTGTTGAGTCTTGAATGCCTCCAAGGTCGGAGTTTCCACAACCTCTATGGGCAAAACATTTCAGTCTTTAACTACCCTTATGGTGTAAGTAAGTAAATAAATAATCTTGCAATCTGATTAAAATTTCCCCTTTTCCAGCTTGCCTGTTGCATCTGGTCCTATGACTATGCAGCTGTAAGAAAGACTCCGGCTCCATCTTTTACGTATTCTCTGATTAATTAGTTGTAGAAAGCAGTAAGGTCCCCTTTTAGCCTGCTCTTCTCAAAACTGAAAGCAGCTCTTCATCTCTTTTTTGTATGTGACTCCTCTGACCATCCTGGCAGCCCTCCCTTGGACTTACTGCAGTGCATCAACATCCTCCTTGTGGTGGGGAGCCCCAGACCGGCTGGAGGACTCCAGATCCAATCTTACAAGTGCAGAGATCCCTGAGGGACCCCACTAGTTACTGCCCACTAGTTGGAATTTGCACCACTGGTGACAATTCTTTGAGCTTAAGAGGCCAGCCAGTTTTACACCCAGCTTGTTCTCCTTTTATCCAGCCCATATTTCACCAGTTGGGTGATAAGGAGACTATGAGCTTCAACTGTATGTCGAAACTTTGCTAAAAAAGGTAGAACACAACATCTACTGTGTTTTATCTCAGAAAGCAACGAGGTTCTGTGTTTCACGAGGGGCAACGGGCACAAGCTGGACCATGGGAAGTTCCACTCCAATCTGAGGAAGAACTTCTTTGGGGTGAGGGTGGCAGAGCCCTGGGACAGGCTGCCCAGGGAGGGTGTGGAGTCCCCTTCTCTGGAGATCTTCAAGCCCCGCCTGGATGCTCCTGAGTGATGTGCTCTGGGCAGCCCTGCTTTGGCAGGGGAGTTGGGCTGGATGGGCTCTAGAAGGTCCCTTCCAACTCCAACAATTCTGTGATTCTGTGATATCAGGGCTTTGGTAAATGAACGTTTTGAAAATGTGATATTAAATTAACCACATCTTAAAATGCTAATGCTTTGACTATTGATCCTTTACTGAGCTCTCTCATAGAATTTATGCATGCACTTGGCTTTTTGGACATGAAAAGTTAAAGCATAATTTGAGTTATCAAATAAAGAAATACACTTTAAAGACATTATTTCAGTGTTTCTGGAGTGGTTTTGTTCAGCATAGTATTAGACTTTGGAAATAATTCAGATGCATCTTCTCCAAACATTCACTGTAACAATTCAGTTACGGAATAGCCTCAGAAAGAGAGTTTTGCCATCGCTGCTGTTTAGTGAAAGTCTTCTTGGAGAGGGACTTGGATTGCCTTGTAATAGTGCAGGAAACAGTAGGAAAAGCCAGACAGCAAAACCCCACCTGGTACTTTTGTTCTGAAGGACAGGTTTGCAAATAAGCTTATTCCTTGGGATTAGAGATGGTCTCTAGAGGAGTACTTATAAATAGCATGGCATATTGAGACTTCTGTGCTGCTGCCATTAAGGTAACAGCTGGCAAGTTGTTAATATTTCATGTTAGTCTGTGTATGTGAAACTGCATTTCTGCTCTTTGTGCATGTTGATGCTGAGCCTGTAACAATAACTCTATTATTGAAGGCTTCAGTATTCTATTTAATCGCTGAAAGCGTTTCTCAGGCAAGACTGAGTCTCACAGTATTTTAGCCTGAACAGTGCTCAAATGTATGTAGCTGCAAGAGACCACTGCTTGGGGGTACAGACAAAGCTAGAGATCTTCTGGTAACGTGCAGCAAGATTTCTTTGGGACAGCTGGAATTTCTGTTACGATTTGTGGGTTTTGTTTGGGTTGGTTTTTTTTTTTTTTTTTTTTGAAATAGTGGTTTGATCCTGGCTGTGGCTTTAACCTTTGTAATATTTACCCTGCTTGTAATAGGCTGTCAGCTGACTCATTGCTTAAATTCAGATTCTGTTAAAACTTGCTGATAGTGGATTTTCTTTGTTTTGATGAATTATGTCATGCCGTAGGAAGGTAAAGCAAGACAAAAGTTCCCCATTAAGAAGTTTAAATGAGATATGCTCCTGCAGTTGAAGTTCCTGGGGCAAGGATGCTAGTCTTCTTAACTGGGATCCGCTTTAATCTTTTAACCAATTCCGGTCCCATACAAGCTGTCTGATCCTCTTCTTGCCAGAAGTTTAGATGATAAAAATCTCTTTTTTAGGGGTTTCTATGTACCAGTCTGTAAGCTCCATGGCATGCCCACAGCATTTTAGATGTGGACCATCTTACACATGAAGCCCCAGTAGACTAGAAGGGCTGTTCTTCATTAAGTGGACTTGTTGTCCCACAGTGGTACAGGGCACATTGTCTCATTTAGGTCTGCAGACAACTTGTTTGCATCCAGAGTAATTGGTGGAAACCTGTTACGCTACAAAGGTGCTACATTTTCTCTTAAGATAAATGAGTTAAAGTGCAGAGAATTGCTACTGGTCATTTTTGTATTGCAATACCTTTGTTACAGAGAATCACCAATAGCTAAAAATTTTATTTCCAACCTTAATCCAACCACTAAAGCAAGTTTTAGCAAATTAGAATTCTACTGAATCTCTCTGACTATTTTCTCTATTTTTTGTGAATTTCAAAATCTAATTGATTAGAGTCGATGCGAAAATTTTCATAGAAAACACTGGAAAGACAGTAAATTGGGTAATATTGTTAATAATATGCCTTTTTTTCAATAGCATATATAAAGTATGGAATTAACTTGATAATTTCTGCATGTTTTGCATATCAGATTCTTGAGATGATCTAAAATTTGTCTAACTATGAGGCAATCAACACATTTTTTAAGTCTCTGAATTTGTTTTAGGAACTCACATAGCTCAGCAGTTGCGTGTTATGTTGTTTGCATCCCATTTGTGGGGAATATTGGTAGCTCAGTGAGCAAGCTGCCTTTTCAGTATGGAAACATGATTAAAACAAAGGTTTTTACCATTAGAGGCAATCTTATTTTCTGTTTTTATACAGCATTATTGAGAACTGATATTTGACTGGCGTGTTAAATTTTCTGATTACAGAAAAGGTAAAGATTTTTGCATAGTGTTGGTTTTCTGCAATTAAAATGCTTACACAACTATATCTGAAACTTATCACCTCTGAGTAAAATATTATAAAATTTGAATGATTCATTAAGCAGAGTAAGAGGGAATATTAAAGGCCACATAGTATATCTTGTAGCATGAAGCACTCCTCCTCCTTCAATCATTTCAGTGCTAGCCACTTCCTGAGTCTAATTCTGTTTGCATTTGGCTTTGAGGTGATTGTACCTTTTGTGTTACCTTAATGAGACATCTCAATCTTTATATTTGAAACTATCACAGCTTCAGTTTTTCTCCAGAAAAGTTACTTAATAAAAGTGATGCTGAAAAAGAAAGGAAGTCAGTGGTGACTGGGAGAGTATACCAGTGGTTGAGAAAATATAAATGTTCATTGCAGCACTCTCTGTTGGATTGGGTATTGAAAAATTGTCATTGAGAAATGTTTTGTCTATATTGCTGCTTGCCTAACTTTGTCCTGATTCCGTATGGATTAATCACTGCCTCAGTGAGTCAGTATTCTGGTTAGCTGCTGATTCTTCTTTGGTTGGTTTTGTGCCTGTTCATACAAGAGAGAACAGTAAAATTGCTTACTTGACAGCCTTCCAAACTACCTTTTTTTTTTTTTTTTTTTCCCCTCAAGTTACCCAATCTCAGTAGCATCTGACACAGTTATTGCAGCGTACGTCTAACAGGGAAGCCCTTTGACGAGCTTGTTTCTAAAGGAGCAAGGAGGAAAATTGGGTCACCTGTGTAGTCTTGAGCCCCACAGGCAATTATCTTAGACTGTAAATGAATGATAAATTCCTGAAAACATATGAAATGTTTTGTACAAAGTAGCGTTTTAGCTTCCAACTGCTATTAATTTTGTCCTTGTTAAATAAAATATAATCAAATACATTATTTTTTCATATAGAATACCATAGCTTCTATTGTATCTTGCCCTATTTTCCCCCTACTGATTTGTTATTCCCACTTACCATACTGCTTCTGAAATTGTGATTTGTAGAATCATTGGAGCAGAAGTGTGGCCCAATACTTTTATAAATGCCTAATAAATAGGTAGAATTCTGTTCTGGTGGGGTGTGTGCCTTCCCTCTGATTTCTGCATAGCGCTTCTCGTCATTTTCAAATGAATCTTACGGTGAATTAATTTGAAGTAAAAGTAAGGATTACAGTTCTGTCAAGAATAGCAGTTCTTAGTCTGTATGACTAAACATTGGTAAGCCTTTATTTTCGGTGGAGATGTAATCAAAAGATTATTATTTCTTTTTAACATTTAAGCCTATTAAAACATTAACACTCAAATACATGACCAAATAGATTTATTATTTTTAAGGTGGTTTTATTAATTACTGGGGGATTTCTTGTTTTGGGTTTGTTTTTTTTTTACCTTTTCAAAATTATACTTGACACGTGGAATATCATTTGGCTTTGAGGCTATCTTTTTATTAGTTTTTAATAAGACCTTGGATTTCTTCATAACAAAATCTTAGACTAGTGTTTCTGTTCCTAAACTGCTAAGCTCTTAATCCTGCGCCATACCTTTATAAACACTGGTTTAACAATTAATGGACATGCACTTTTTTGTGCTTGCTCGCATATCACATTGGTAGTCCTACTCATAAATTAATGATTAAAAAAATCAGTTATTTCTGAAAATTTTAGTATGTATTCTTTCTCAAAGTGAACTTAGGAGAGGTCTTGGATAATCAACAGATAAAAGACAGTGCTTGTCTTATAGCCTTCATTTGTACTAATTGGTTCTGTGAAGGTATAGGTATACACTGAGTGATATGTACTTGCTGTGTGACAGCATTTTCTATAATTAGTACTACTAAATACGAGGTGGGCATTTCTGTAAAATGTAGACACTCCCAAATATAGTATAGTCAAGCAGTGGTGTAACATACCTAAGATTCATGTTAGTTCTTGGATATCAGTTCAATAGAAAAATAATTTTGCTTACAAAAAAAAAAAATAAATTACTATGAATACTCCAGAAAATCTCTCAGTTTAAATTTACCTTCTCTTTTCCTCTTTCCCTACTTACCCTCTTTCGGGGTTATCTTTTCAGGGCTGTTCAACAAATAATGCTGATTATAAAAAATGATATTTCCTACCCCAGCCTCGCTCAGCCTTCCTCCAAAATAACAGAAATTCACACAGATTTTAATATGTTAAACTGTGTCTGAGACTCCCATTCAAATTCTTTCTTAAATTTTCTTTTCTCTTTATTTCTAACCACAACATAGGTAAGACTTGATTTCTGTATTTAATTGTTGAAACTTCAGTTTTGAATGCCTTAACAGTTTTTTTTAGCACTTGTTGGTTCATTGCAGATCTTCTTTGGAAAAGTTATTCTGTAGATTAGAGGAGACTCTGAGGAACATAGTGGTGGTAATTAAAAAAAAAAAAAGGTAGCAAGGGGGTGTTAGTAACCAGTATGGAAGCAAATGTTCTTACCTATATATGTGAATTACAGAGGAGTAGATGCATGGACAACAGAGAATTTCAGTTCTCTAATTTTAAGGGATTTTATGCATTTATGGAGTATTTACAGTGATTCTCTCTAACTACAAAAGGTAACGTACCTTACTGAGAGGATTTGATGACTAAGGAAGCTAGCAATCCTACAGAGAGAAACGGCTACAACTGTTAACTGGGGTTGGTTTGTTTTTTGTGTTGCGCTTATAAGCTCCTCAATAATTAACTGACGATCTTTGGGAGAGCTTGCTGTCTGTTAGGGCTGTCATGCACTGTCATGTATTCATTCCCTGTTTTTAAATCTGTTTTGTGTTTTTTAGGCCTAAGGACTGTCTCCGTTCTATTATGAAGAGAGTGAACCATAAAGATCCCCATGTTGCTATGCAAGCACTAACAGTAGGTTCTTTTTAATGTAGTGCTTTTCCTTCCTGAAAAGTTATATCGCAAAAAAATCTTCTCTGAGTTCTAATCTTTCTTTCTTTAGCTTCTAGGAGCATGTGTATCAAACTGTGGTAAAATCTTTCATTTAGAAGTCTGTTCAAGAGATTTTGCCAGTGAAGTAAGCAATGTGTTGAATAAGGTAATGTATTTCATTGATTTATACGATTCGGAGAAAAGCACAGTCTGACACAGGATTGGGGTAATCCGAAAGTGGAATGGAATCTGCTTTTGGAAGACTGGAAATTTGGCAGTGGGGGGAAGGGAAGATTATTGGGAAGACTGTGGTTGTGAGAAAGAACTTTGTGAATGCCACTTCACACTCCAGTTACTCCTACAGTTACTTACGTATTCTGTTCGGGGGAGGTGGGGTGTGGTGTGTTAGTTTATAAATATACAAATTCATTTTTACATTAAATGACAGCAATGAAACACTAAATACACATGTGGTAAAATGGAGATTATACAGGGATGTTGTGTAACCTTATTTTACTTTATTTAGGGCCTAGGCCGTATTGTGCCAGTACAAACGCAATGCTGGTGAATTATTCTCCCTTTCTAATAAGGATATCCCTTAGCAATACATTTAGTGTCCCTCAGTGACTTCAAAATAAAATGTCTATATACTTTGTATTGAAAGTAACATGACATTATTTAAAATTAAGGAATTAAGACCAGATTCCTACATTATTTAACTTGTTTCTACTGTTCTTGCAGGGTCATCCGAAAGTTTGTGAAAAGCTGAAAGCCCTTATGGTAGAATGGACTGATGAATTCAAGAATGACCCACAGCTTAGTTTAATATCTGCTATGATAAAAAATCTTAAGGAGCAAGGAGTTACTTTCCCAGCTATTGGTTCACAGGTATATTAATTTTTGTGGTTGTTCTTAAAGGGTATCAAAACTTCCCTTTATCCTCAGTTCTGTATTTTACAGTTTGTAGTCTTGAGTTCTATAATGTGTTTAGCAAAGACAATGAAATCCCTGTTGTCTTAATAAAACATTCCTTTGAATGAGGGGTGAAATGCTCTGATTTACTTTAGGTTTTTATATTGCAGATGAATACAAATCAAAATGGTGAACTTAACGCATTGTGAGTTTTTTGTTGAATTAATTTTTGCATCCTTCACTTTTGGCCAGGCTGCTGAACAGGCAAAAGCAAGTCCAGCTCTAGTTGCCAAAGATCCTGGTACAGTAGCCAACAAAAAGGAAGAGGAGGATTTAGCTAAAGGTGAGTGCATTTACTTGCTGACCTGATGAATATATTGCTAAATATCAAATAAAGCAGGAAAAAATGTTTTGTTTCCTTCCTCTATGTGAATAGTATATTTACAGGTTGTGATTATGATTTCTATTCCTTTCTTTTTGTACCCTTTCTGGAGGGTTAGACATTAAAGCTATTCTATGGGTAAAAATTATGAAAAATTACTTATTTCTACTTTTATTTTTTTCCTTTGCCCAACTGAAACAACACAGTAAAAAATGTGCAAAATCTCATGTTAAGGACATGCTCCACTATGGAAATGTTTGATACAAGTTCTGCACTTGGATTTTCCCTCCTTCTGGGGCAAGGGAAGCACAATTATTGGCAATTTAAACAGTCGATGGAAGGATAAAATAAGAATTATAGTATAAGTTGTATGCAAAATGTTTTGGGCATATTAATTTAAACTTTAATTCCTTTGAATGCTGCTTCTGTAGTATACTTTAAGGCTTTGATTGCCATAAGCATGAGGGGCTGTTAAATGTCTCACTGCAGTCCCAGTAAACAGAACTAGGATGGTTTCTTTTGATTTACTGTTGTACTAAGGTATATTTAAAGGTCATTTAATGATCCTATAACAGACATGTGTGAAGAGTTATTCTTAGAGTGGTCTTTATGCTCTAGAGACTGTTTTTCAGGTCAACTTCAGCAATGTAAAGACCTCCGATCTTAGCTGTTGTATGTAGCATGGCTTTGGTCTTAAAGATGTAACACTATATGAGTGAAGTTCTTGCACTAGTAGTTGGTGGATGTTTGCAGTTTCTCATCCTTGATACAGTCTTTTTTTGTTTAGCTATTATCTAATGTAACATTGATTTATTTAAATTGCCATTAGCCCATCTACATATGTTACTAATTGTTTCTTCAACAGTTGATCCGCCAAAGTGTCAACTCAAGGGATTTCAGGGGATTTGGGTCTCAAAGGTTCAGATTCTGCCTGGGTTTCCTACTGTTTGTTCTCTTGGTTTTTGTGTCCCACTCTGTCCCTTCTTAAACATGATCGGGTTTTTTTCATAAACTTGTGAAAGGAGGAGTTTCATATGAATGAAACCTTTCTGCTCAGTCAAGTTTAATTGCAAATGACCATGAAGTGTAAAATTATTGCAGGAATGATAGGGAGAGAACAGGAATGGATGGAATTTCGCTTGTCTAAGCAAAAATCTTTTTCTTAATTATCAATTATGGAGGCACTTATTTACTGTGAGGGTGACTGAGCACTGGCACAGGTTGCCCAGAGGGCTTGTGGAGTTTCCATCCTTGGAGATATTCAAAAGCTGTCTGGATGTAGTCCTCAGCGGCCAGCTCTAGGTGACCCTGCTTGATCAAGGGGGTTGGACAAGATGATCTCCAGAGGTGTCCTCCAACCGCAACCAATCTGTGTGATTCTCTGATTTTGTGAATTCAGGCTAAAGACTCCATTATTTCTAAGTGAAAGGCAGAAGTTTCTTATCGTGCAACAGGAATGGAATGATACTAAAAGTTTTCACAGAGTTAAATTTTCGTATAATTCAACTCATTTTTATAGGGAATTTTCACGTGACTAACTCTTCTTTTGTAGCTATTGAACTGTCACTAAAAGAGCAAAGGCAACAGCAAACAACACTTTCCAGTTTGTATCCGAGCACCTCAGGCCTTTTAACAAATCACAAACATGAGGGCCGAAAGGTTCGTGCAATCTATGATTTTGAGGCTGCTGAAGACAACGAATTAACTTTTAAAGCTGGAGAACTTATAACCATCCTTGATGACAGGTAATTTATATAGAATGCCTGCTAGAAGTGTATTAGACTGTAAAAGTCAATTGAGAACAATTCTGTCTTCTATGTAGAAGCATACATTGGAATACAGTTGCAATAAAATATATTTACATATTAAATACTTTATTTGGTTATCTCCGAGATATTTTACATATGAATGTAATTGCATAAAGTTTCTTGTATAAAGATTTTTGTGTATATACACATTGTATTTATGTACAAGTAATATAAATGCCTTGTACAGTGCAATTCTTAGGAAAATTCAATGTGAGCATGGGGTTTTTTAATGTATGGGGGTTTTAATTATTTTTTTTTTATCTTTAGTGACCCAAATTGGTGGAAAGGTGAAACTCATCAGGGCATAGGATTGTTTCCATCTAATTTTGTAACAGCTGATCTTTCTGCTGAGCCAGAAATGAGTAAGTAACACTACATTTATGTCTATATGTCAAACCTTGCCATGGCCCAGGGGATATTTCTGTAGTGATGTACTTTCCCTATTTTCTTTCCCTTATGATAGAATTCAGTTGCAACTTAATGTGATGCTCAAAATAAAACTGGGGACTCAAATAAAAAATAAATAGAAAATAAAACTCAAAAACCCTTGTTGTGCTCTCACAAACAACAGTCATATCTTTGTATCTCAGACCAACGTTGCCCAAACTGGTGTCTGCTAAAAAATACGATGCTGTCTACTGCTGACTTAATCAGCAGCTTTCTTGAGACTCATTTAACAACTCATTGACACCAAGATAAACGTAGGCAACAGCAAGTTTTTTCCAAGTTGCCTTTTTGCCTGGTTGCCTTGGTACTTTTCTAATCAAGGAAAAATTGAAGGCCTGGGGCCAGCTGGGACTCAGAGGCAGATTACCACTGTTCAGACAATTCAAGAAACCTACACACTGTAGTTATGTCTGTGTGCATAATGGAGGGAATTTTTTTTCTGCGTGCTGGTTATCTTCTTGTATCTATTTATATCAGTCTAACCTATCTAAATATTTATTAAAATTATTACGTTGGACAAGGTTTAAAGATAGTAGAACTGATTCCTGTAAATCTGATGGGTTTGCAAGATGAATCTGCTGTGATCTCAATATGAGTGTGCCAAAGAAATGAGCAGGTCACCAGAATTACATGCTGTAGGAGTCATCTGTTCTATGATAAAGCTAACTGATAAGAGTAGTATGGTAAGAGTAGTATTTGGCAGCTTTTTTGTTGTGGCCTCCACTCCAGAGGAGTGAGATGCTTTTGCAGGTACTATTTGATGGAGAAGAAATAGCAACATTTGAGAACTCTCAATTCTGTACTTTGCTCTGGAGAAAAGAAGGCTCCAGTTTGTCATCGATAATTTTACCAGTTTTCTCTTAAACCTGACTCATTAACCTTATTTCTTCCAATCAAACTCTGTCTGTTTTCCTGACGACATATTAATAAGTATGTTACATGCAGGGAGACTATGATAAAGACATTTACTTGCTAAAATGTCTTTCTGTTGACCTTGTGTGAACTAATGTCTTGTTTTTATAGAATTTACAGATTTGTTTATGAAAATTGTTTAATTCTGTGGAGATGTTTTTGGTCTTCAAAAGTCAACAAAATACTAATTTTTTTAAATTTTCACAGTAGATGTGTTAAATGTTCAGATTTTAGGCAACATGCTAGCTGTATAACATTTATGTCATTGTTTTGTTTATTTTTATTTTATAAAATAAAATCAAATCTGTCTCTTTATCTTACAGTGAAAGCTGAGAAAAAAACAGTGCAGTTCAGTGATGAAGTTCAAGTGGAGACAATAGAACCTGAGCCTGAACCAGTTTATATTGATGAAGTAAGTGTGATACAAGTACTGATTTTTCAACTGCTGGTACATTTAAATATGTGATGTTTAAACTTTTCATTCTGCACCTCAGAAATAATTTGAAATGTCAGGAGAACATAATCAAAAGAGAACAGAAAGTTGATTTAATTAAATAAAATAAATATCTGCAGTATCCTGATTTGTTAATGTGTCTGGAAGTCCTTAGGAACTTCTGAAACGGAATTTGGATCCTGCGTTCCTTTTAGGGCCCTACTCCAGGATTGTGCAGCTGTTCACCTCCAAACTAGAAGCTTGGTTGGAGTTAGCATTTGCTTTGAAGTTTTGCTTTAAGTACTTCAGGGTGCCTCAGAGATGTCCATCTCGAATACTAGCTTAGATTTATTTCCAGTGTAACCACCATTGTCTTCCCCCAGTCTGAAAGATCTTTGTCCTTCTCTGAGAACTGTGAGCTTTCTGTGGCTCTGTAAGTAATATTTAGTGAGATTTGCACAGTCTCTCCACAGTGATTCTGCAAGGTTCCCAGGAACTCTCAGCCCAGGATGTTTTTCCCTGCCTTTCTTTAATCTTTTGGGTTTATTTTTTTCTTTCTCTTTTTTTTTTTTCCTTTCTCTCCCAGGGAGCTTAGGACTGTTCTCTTCAGAATTTTTGGCTCTCTCTCTTGTGACCTTCCATTTCTTCTTTCTTAACTAGGGCTCTGTCATTGTTTTTTGAAATGAAAAATCATTGCCCTGCTAACGTCCTATTTAACTCCTACCTGAAATACTCTCTCTTCCAAGAGATATGTTAGTTTGTAATCCGCTGAAATAGCTTATCTCGGGCCTGCCTTGAGGTGCCTTCCAGCTTTTATCTTCTGTTATTCCATGTTAATTTATGTTTTAGTGTCTTCTTTTGTCTTTAAAATGATCGTAGTATAATTTTTAAGGAAGTAGTTCATTTGGCTTCTCCCTGCTTTTTCTGGGGTTAAGGAGAAAAAAATATGGTTTTAGTTTCCCCTTTGTTACAACTTACATAACTTTGGCCTGTTAAAGGCTATTTATTTGATAGCACTCAGCTAAAAAGTGATTTTTAATCATTTACATATAATGTTGGTTAAGCATTATAGTTCACTCCAAGACATACATTTAAAAGAGCCTATTAATTTTCCACCCTTTTGTCTTTTTATAAATAGGTTGCACTTAAGCTGGTTAATCAAGGATGTCTTATTCTGAAGTCAACAATGCAACCCCTCCAAGCATCTTAAAAATAATCTTTCATATATTTTAGTAAGGACATTGCTCATGTGCTGATGGGCCTCACACACTGATAAAATGCAGGATAGTTTTCCAGTGAATTTAGTTTTAAGTCCCCATTTCTTCTTAAAGTACTCTCTCAGTGTGGTCTGTCAAAACGTTTGCACTGTCCCACTAGGTGGTAGTATTGCATGTGTAATAACTAGAATGGAAAAATAGAAACTCCTCAAAATATACTGCTTAGAATAACTTCTAGGAATAAATGGTAACATTCCACTTGTTACTACGAATTGTTTTCATCATTTGGCTTATCCTTGTTCAAGCATCTTCGTTCCTGTAAAGTAGCATAGTAGTAAAATAGTATGATTTGTGTTTTCTTAAAGTTAGTCTAGGTGATTTCCAAGTTCCAAGAGATCCAAGTGGCTGTTATAAATCACTACTTCAATTTACTGTCCTGAAGGTGTTAATTCTCCTTCCCCCACATACACCCTAATTACACAATCTGTGTTCTAGGATAAAATGGATCAACTCTTGCAGATGTTACAAAGTGCAGATCCATCTGATGACCAGCCAGACCTCCCAGAATTGCTTCATCTTGAGGGTAAGAATATCTCATGAGTTTTTTTGTTGTTTTCCTCTCTAATAATCACCTGTATCAAATTTAATTGAAATTAAGCTGAAACTCCTTCAGCTTCATGTACATGCCACAAGCATGCCTGAGAAAAGTGCCTGAGCTGTTGTTATCTTCTCCCTTCCTGTTTCCCAAAGAGACTGAAGTGCAGAATTTTAACTTGGAACAAGCCCTTACCCCTTTCAATGAAACTATATTCCATATTCTTTTCAAGTCCCAAGAGTACCTAATTTATCTTATTCATCCACTTTTTTCCCTTCTACAGAGTAGCACAGCATGAGTTGCAAAAGGAGCTTAAGGAAGATTCCATGAGAGGAAGCAGAAATACTACTGAGGCTTAGAATAGACCTGGGGTGTCCCACATGTTTTTCACTTGTGTGCATATTTCTATAGGACTTCAATATTAGTGAATATTATAGAGTGCTACAAATTAGGCTAGTCCTTTAGACTCAAATTATTCAGGCTACCTCTTTAAAAAGAGGCATCATAGGGCATTCTACCTAGGTTGAGAGATGCAGCAAAAATTTTGGAAGGGGACTTCGGAGAAGGAAGTAAAGAAACTTACCTGTTATAAGACAGAACATGGGCTTAAACTGGTGATTCAGATAGGATCAGACTTTGTTAACAAAGTGACAGATTCCAGATCTTTCTAGAAGTTAATCAGGAAAAAATGCATAAGCTTGTAAGCTTTTGGATATCTCCCATCTTTCCACACCCATCTGGTTCATCATACCTGTAAATGAATCCTGTTTTAGGAACTGCACATCAGAGATGTGTCTGCGTGTATTCTAGTTCCACTAAAGCTAAAGGGGGGAGTAAAAAGAAACATGAATGTTTTTATTCTTTCAAGTACCAAATATAGCTATAGAGGCTGTTGTCTAAGAAGTGGATTGTCTGTATCTGGTCCAGGACAGAAGCAAAGAAATTAAAGATATGCTTGTCAACCAGCCTCCAGATACGGCTTACATTAGGATCTCCTTCCATAATGCATTGTGAGATCATTAGAACAATGATTTTATGAATTTTATATTAAACTGTGGGACAGCTCCAAGAATCTGAAGGCTGTAGCGTAGTCAGGTGATTGCTCCCCAGGTACCTACAAACGTCCTTGCTAAACATATGGCTGTGTTTAGTTCTACAATGCCATATTCAAGATGGTACTTACTCTACACTCAGGTAGGCCTTGGGCAGCTAGTATTTTTGGCATAGTTTCTGGGAATTTTGTTGTAGCTGTCTGTCGGAACTTGGGTTCCTACCAGTGGTGACAGGTGCAGATCAACGTTTGATAAAAAAAAACACTTCCATTTTCTTCTGCCGTCCAGATGTCCAGTCACAAATGCCTTTAAATTGCAGAGCTCATCCCACCGCTTTCAGGAGCCCTGGGTTTGTGGTTGGCAGCAGGGCAGGCATCATGATCTAAGCAATTCTTGTCATGCCTTTTATCATAGAATCATAGTATTGTCCAGACCAGAAGGGACCTCCAAAGGCCATCTAGTCTGACCCCCCCGCAGTCAGCAGGGACACCCCCAACTAGACCAGGTTGCCCAGGGCCTCGTCGAGCCTCTCCTTGAATATCTCCAGGGATGGGGCCTCAACCGCCTCCCTGGGCAACCTGTTCCAGTGCTCCACCACACTCACAGCGAAGAACCCTCTCCTCATCTCTAGTCTTAATCTGGTCCCCTCCAGCTTGAAGCCATTGCCCCTCGTCCTGTCACTGCAGGCCTTTCTAAACAGGCTCTCCCCAGCCTTCCTGTAGGCCCCCCTCAGGTACTGGAAGGCCGCTATTAGGTCTCCCCGGAGCCTCCTCTTCTCCAGGCTGACCAACCCCAGCTCCCTCAGCCTGTCCTCGTAGCAGAGGTGCTCCATCCCCCTGATCATCCTTGTGGCCCTCCTCTGGACCCTCTCCACCATGTCCACATCCTTCTTATATTGAGGGCTCCAGACCTGCACACAATACTCCAGGTGAGGTCTCACCAGAGCAGAGTAAAGTCATACCTTGTGTTATACATAAAAATAGGCAGAACTCGCACTGTGTTTTACATCTTTTACCAGCATTTCTGCCAATGTGTTACCAATCCTAGGTTCAAAGAAGCAGATGGGTGCCTTTCATACTACTCCTCTTTCACCTGGAGTTGCATTCAAGGAACACATCAGTGATTCCTTTTCACCCATCATGGCCCAGAGGTTTTCAGGACCTTCTGCATCTTTAATTTGGGAAAAATGGGAGTGAAGACAGTGTTCCAGAGCTGCTTACAATGCATTTAGGTCATCTTTGATGCCTGAATGATTTTTTTCTCATCTCTCAGTTTGAATGTTGAATGGCTCTTGGGATTAAACACATCTCTTGATTCGTTAGAAGTTGATTGCTTGGATAAGTGGGCACATTTGGCATTCTGGAGTAGGGCTAGACTGTACTATCCCCTTTCAGCTTCCTTGTCTGTTTATTTTACATTTGATAAACTCACTCTTTCTGTTATTGGTTGGCAGTTACATGAACCCCATGTCCCGGTGCTGAAAGTTGCCCGGGGTGGGGGGGGGAGGGTGCCTGTGCATTTTCGTTTATTTTACTGTTTTTCCATTCTACTTGTGTTGATTTTTGCACATATTAGTGGTTTGAAAGAGTCCCCTTAGCCCAATTAGGATTCCAGTGAGATAGTGCGGTTAGAGATATTCCAATGTCCTATTAGTGTCTTTGATGAGCAGATGATTTGAATCATTGCAGCCTGTTTTCCCTTTCATTGTTTTGTAGTGTTAGTTGAGCACGTGGTCTAGGTTGCAGTGGCAAATTTTCTTCCTTGAGGAAGAGATCAGCTTTTGGATTTACCTGAACTTTTTAATGTAAAATATTTTCAGTTTTACACTCCCCAGATGTTAAATGTTTTGTTTTGCTGTATTTTGATTTTCTTTTTAAACTGTACCACTACTGAAAACTTCTTCTGGATATCATTCTTAAACTGTTTGTGACACTGCATCTGTTACTGTAATTTTTTGGGCATACAGATTATAGTAATGATTTAAAGGAAAGTTTGAATTAGCATCTATGCATTTCTATCTGATAATTTTTTAAAAAATTACTGTCTGACTTGTAGTATGGAAGCCTTTATTACTCTGATATATTCTAATGTCCTTCTATTCTAGCAATGTGCCACCAGATGGGACCCCTCATAGATGAAAAGTTGGAAGATATAGACAGGTAAAAAAGTACATGTGTTTTGACTGATTAAGATTAATTCTCAGAAATTCTCACTGTTGTTACTTAATGATTTCTTAACCACTTCTGTGGATATTGGCAAAGTAAGTCTATTTATTAGTAGCTTCTCATCTGGGAGGAGGTCTGAAGGGTTTTTTTCCTAGTCACATCATATTTTATGGTATTATACTGTTTGATGTTATGGTACTTATCAGGCATCACTTCACAGGCAGTAAGAGTACGTTGCTTATCACACCTCATAGAAGTTTCCCTGTATGGTCTGTTCTTACTGAAGTTACCTAAATTGTAGAATAAGCTGTAAAATGTATTTTCTAGGAAACATTCAGAACTTTCAGAGCTCAATGTGAAAGCAATGGAGGCTCTTTCTTTGTATAACAAACTGATGAATGAAGACCCGATGTATTCCATGTATGCAAAACTACAAAACCAACAGTATTATATGCAGTCATCTGGTGTTTCTGGCTCTCAGGTACGTATGGAACCTTTAATAGCCATTGAGGTTATCAAGAACATACTGAGCTATGGTTGATTTCCTCCAAGTTATTAATGATAAACAGTTTTTCACGAGCTAACTTTTTTACAAAACTTGCTCAAATATTTTTTTACAATATACTTCTCTACATTACTATAATAAATATATACTGATTTATAAAGTGCGGTGGAGCATGTTGATTGCAAGTAATAATTTATTTCCTATTTCTGCCCTGCTGTCTCCCCTGCCCTTGCCCTCTGAGTTGGAAACCTCTTTTTTTGATCTTTGTGACCTTAATGCTGGGTTAATATCATCTTGCTGTCTCAGAGATAATCTCAAATGAAAGCACAGGGTTTTGTCTCAACACAGTGTGTAAAAATAATAAAAAAAAATGTTTGTTTTCAGCTGTAGTCTTTGACTATTCTTCTTTTGCAGGTTCTAACACTCTTAGTTCATTTCCGTTCAATTCTTGCTTTTGAGTTGTACCTCAAATTAAAAATTAAAGCTGCGAGACCTTTTCCTAGTGGGCAAAGGAAATAAAGAACCAAAGGAGCACAGTTCCTCTTTAAGATTATGCCTTACCTACCCTAAAATCAACCTCTCTTTTTAATTTTTTTGAAATATCAATAGAGAGCATTTTAATTACTGAAGTTAAAAATTATAATTCCTTCATGACTGCATTTCCATGTAATTGAGTGTTTTCTCCGAATAGGTCTTTTAGCTTATTCGTATACTATGGTATTTTTAAAAGGTGTTTTAAACATTTAGATGTTTAATCCCACATTCTAATGCACACTTGCTGTATTCTTTTCCTGTTTATAGGAATATGTAACATTTCTAACAGTTATTCCAATAATTTACTTGCTTTCTGAGTGAGTAAAAAAAAATTAAAGGCAACTTATTCATGCCTATGCAGTATTATATAAATATTGAAGCAGGTTTACTTGATTTAGTTCCTTTAGCTTCTTACAAATATGTACTTTCTTTCATTGTCTTTTAAGAAGAGGATGTATGTTTTTGCAGAGTCATTAAGAAGAACGTTGTTTTCCATTCATATATGATAAGCAATCATGCCATGACCCCAGCAAATAATTTGAATGTTTTATAAACAGGCGTGTGTCTGGGGATTTTTAAAGGGAAAAACTGGATTTGGGTCTGAAGATGAGCCAGAATAAGTTCTGAAAAAGTTAGGAGGTCTTATGCCTTTGCTGCCTTCTAAAATTCTTTGGCGATAATTGATAAGCCATCTATGAATATGTCATCTGAGATTCATGGGCCTTAAGACAGCAGGGCTATATATCGTAAACTTACATGAACTCAATTGTACGTGAGACACGATCATTTCTTCTAGTAATTTGTGTTAAACCAAATAATTCATGATTGAACGAAAGTGTAGAGTTTAGAAAGTTAGTCTTGAGTTAGCATACAGTTGACACATATGCTAGTAAGCTGTTCCTCTAGTTAGTTGTAAAACGTTATCTTATTTTCTATTGAAATTTTTCTTAAGACCACTTTTTCCCTTCTGCCTCACTCAAAGAATTTTACAAGGACAGTCTCAACAATTCCGTGAACTGATACGTTAACTAATGACATGAAAATAATGCTTTATTTGCTTTCCGTTTAATGATTCTACTTAGTTAAATTTATCTGGGCATCAAAAAGCGTTCTGCTTTGGACTGCTGTTTGTTACATGACTTACATCCTTCGGTATTTTCATTGAAAAGTAGAAGCTTTTAATTAGCACGAGGGATAGCTGTTAAAATAAAACTTGGAATACAAGTTTTCCAGTAAATTATTTCGTTCTTTTGATACTGGAGCCTGGTGTTAGAAATGTAAATAGTCTCCTTTGAAAATCTGGTTATTGTTTCATACTGCAGCACTTGATAGAAGACAATCAGTTGCTTTCTAGTAAAACATCTGTAATAAAAGGTTTTTGAGACTGTCTTTAAGTTCCAAAGTCAGATATTAAATACCGAATCTTCATGTATTTTATTTTTAATATTCCTTTATTTCACTTCCTAGGTGTATCCGGGGCAGGCTCAAAGTAATGCATATTTGGTGGCAGGGAGTGCACAGATGGGCCATATTCAAGGCTACAATCTTCCTCCTGAACAGCTCTCCTCTCTCAGCCAAGGCACAGTTACTCCATCTGCCAGCTCCGTGCTGCCTGGCCAGCCCGCACAGACCTCTTACACAAAGTAATTTCAAGTATTTTCCCATTCAATTGTAAACCCATTTAAACATAAAGGACTACAGATAATCTATAAAGGAGATTTTTGTCTTTTTTTTTTTCCCCCCAGAAGTATAATTTTAAACACAACTGCCAGGTACTTCAGTGCAATTATTTCCACTGTGCTTTTTATTGGTGTCATGTACTTGGTAAAAATTCCTGACAAATGTCAAGCCTTTCTGTTGTTTCTATATTTTTTTCTCCAGTTTTTAATTTTATATATAAGAAATGTATAATTTTTTAATATATATTTTTAATGATGAAGATTATATGCTGCTTTGGCTGCCTTTGCATAACTTCTGAGCGTTTTTTTTTTTTTTTTTTTTTTTTTTAGATAACCTAATATACATTTAATGTTTATAATTTTAAATACATTTAATGTTTTTAGATAACCTAATATACATTTTATGCTGCTTTGGCTGGCTTTGCATAACTTCTGAGATAGTGTATATCTTATAAGAAATGTATAATTTTTTAATATATATTTTTAATGATGAAGATTATATGCTGCTTTGGCTGCCTTTGCATAACTTCTGAGATAGTGTATATTGTATTGTACTTTCTTTTCAATTATCTGATGGTGGAAGCATGGGGAGAATTCTGCTCATTTTGGCACTGAGGCGAATGGGCTGTGAGCACTTGCTGAAGCTCATACAGCTTCCCCATATAGAGGAGCTACAAGTGGCTTTCTTTTTTGGGTAGATTCACAAAGATGCTTAGCATTGGCTAAGCTACCCATATTGTGAAAAAGCTTTGAATTGACCTTAGCAAAAGGTTACATTTTTTTCCTTTACTCTCTCTATAAAGTAATTTTATTTTACAAAGTTGGGAGAGACATCTATCTTGAGTTATTAAAGTATTTGTTAGTCTCTGTCCCCCAAAGGTACTTATTTGGGACATATATTGATAAAACGAGTTTCTGGGTACTTCACCTGCCTTGTTCTGCTATTTAAAACAGTTACATGGGTTTGGGTTTTTTTCATGAGCAGAATGGAAGGTAGATGGGATTCCATGCCACACGTTAAAATAAAACAATGTATAGATTCACAATCTAGTTTTAAATCCATGGGAAGTGTGTTTGAATCTGAGGAGCGCGTTGGAGTTTTAATTGGAATGTTCATTGGATGTGCTTTTAAATGTGTCTGGAGTTAGGAGATTTTTGTGTGCGTACTTAGAACAGCTGAAGAAGAAATAAGGTGTTGCTGTTCAGTTGGGAAATTGTTTGTTCATTCAAGTTTAATTATTTTTTATATTTTTTTTTTGTCAGTGCGATGGAAGGTAGATGGGATTCCATGCCACACGTTAAAATAAAACAATGTATAGATTCACAATCTAGTTTTAAATCCATGGGAAGTGTGTTTGAATCTGAGGAGCGCGTTGGAGTTTTAATTGGAATGTTCATTGGATGTGCTTTTAAATGTGTCTGGAGTTAGGAGATTTTTGTGTGCGTACTTAGAACAGCTGAAGAAGAAATAAGGTGTTGCTGTTCAGTTGGGAAATTGTTTGTTCATTCAAGTGTAATTATTTTTTTTATTTTTTTTTTTTTGTCAGCGCAATGGTTGGCTCTGTTGCTGGAAACACTTACTCCAACCAGGCTTCGGTGTACAGCCCACCACCTGCTACTGTTGATGTTGCTGCTTACCAGAATGCTGGAACTAACATGTCCCAGGTGCCAAACTATAACTTAGCATCCACGCCTCTGCCACAGACAGCAGGCAGTCAACCAGCACCTCCACAGCAACCACAGCCTCCTCCACCTCCACAGCCACAGCAGAGTTACTCGCAGAAGGCTCTGCTATAGGATCCAGGACCTCTGATTCCTAACCTTCTTTAACCTCTGCTAAAGGCAGTCAGCAATTCTATGAGTTTCTTCCTTTAATCTATTAAACTCTGTTTATCCTCAGCTTAATAAGAATCTATCTCGGTGAACAAGTTCAATTTGCACTGACTTTTTAGGATTTTTTTTTTTTTTTTTTAATTTTGCAGAGGAACGGATATATTTAGGACATTTAATTCCTTTTAAAATGCCTAAAAATTGGTACAAGATTATTTATGTCTGGTAAAATTGGCTAGTCTGTGAAAACTCAACTCTTGCAAACTGTCGTGGCATATATGTTATGTACATATAGTGTGTGATTGCAATAGTGGCCATTTCGTATAGCTATGGTGATCATGTGAATATATTTAACACAATGTTTAAAAAGAATTTACTTTACTATTTTATTTTAATCATGAACTGACGACCATGTTTCATAGTTTTGTCTAGTTTTATGACAGATGTGATGTCTTTATCCAATGCAGGTAAGGCAGTAATTCTGCATATCATGGTGACACTTACAAACTAAGGTCTATATATGAATTTACAAACTTATCTGAGTCTAGGCTTCCTTGCTTCTTGAATCGAACACAAGTGTATCATGACTATTAGATGGCTTATCTACCAAAGTAAACTAGTTAACTAGTAAGTGATTTTGGGGGGATAACAGCAAATTATGATTCTGCTTCAGATAGAATTAATAACTTAAAACTACTATTCAGAGGCTGCTAAACATATCGTGGGACCATGCAACAGAACAGAGTCTTGCATTTTATCATAAAAGCATGTAATTTATTTTTTCCAAGTTGTTTTTTACAATGAGAACCAGAACTGTATTCTATGTGTGTTGGTAGAGATTACACCAAAGACAGAGGAATTGAGTTGAAAGAGAAATGGTGGAGTTTTAAACTGGAACACACAACACGAATAACACTACTTTATCTAAGTCTTCTTAATTAGAACACGGAGAATTGTGGACATTTCAATCACTTTGCTGAACAAACCTTCAGGGCTTTATTTTATCTCTTGTGGCCTTGCTTAGCAATTTGTTCTGTTTACTGTTCTTACACAAACACTTCTGCCTTAAACATCTGTCCTGATTTCCATGTGTACCACTTGAGTTTATTAGCCCTTCCATTGCAGGAAAAGCTGATGAGGCATCTTACTGTCGCTCCCTCTCAGGTTACCTTGAGTTCTCTCCTGCAGCAACATCCACGAGCCCTTTTTAAACCCTAGCATTTCTCAGTGACCCAGCCAGGTGGCTCTTTAAGGCACGGTATCTTCTTCCTACAGCTGAGATGCTGCAAAAGGCACATGGTGATGGGAGGCAGCATTTTAGATATTCCTGATCAGAGTTCCTTGTCCAGAGACCGTTGCTGCTTTGCGTTTGTGTTCAATCTCTTAATGCATCCCGATTTCCTCTTACCCTTTCCAGCAACTCTCATTCCAATCAGAGCAATACTAGGTGGCTTCAACATCAGATCTGTGTTTTCAGCCTTGTTGGTGTGTGTGTCAGAAATCGTTTGCTTTTCTGTACTATATTTTAGCGTGATGCTTCTGGAATTAAATGTGGCAAATGGACATTATGTTATAAGCTCACCTCAGTTGTCCCGTACTCTCCCGCGTCTGTTCACGGTTACCGGACATGCCTTTGGTTCACTGTTTTAATAGACACTGCTAATTTGCCTTTTAATGCTTTCAGGTTACTGCTTTGCATAACTTCTGACTGGGGTGGTTACAAAACGTGCCCGTAGCTGATGTGTGCCAGCTGGGGATGTTCTAGCCAGTTGGCTGTTTTGATACCAGTATTTTCATGTCCTTTTTTTTTTTTTTCTTTCTCCAGAATTCTTAAGCACCCTCAAAAACTGACATTACTTCAGTACCTGGTGTCATCATAAAAGTCTGTGGAATCTGAAAGAAAATACTAAAAAAAAAAAGGAATCCAAGATACTGTCATAGATCATTTTTAGTGGATTGAAGAGGTGATTTTCTTTAGAAAGGGCATGCAGTATCATTTAGATAGTGTTGTCTGTGTGCTTTAGGTACTTCATTCCAAAATCAGAGAAACAAGAAGTATAGAAGTATGTAATTTCTACACAGTCCAAAATCAGAGAAACAAGAAGTATAGAAGTATAGAAGTATATAATTTCTACACAAAAGTGAAAATAACTTTTTACTCCATAGTTCTTAGGCCCTGATTCAAGGAGGAGCTTGAAGCATCAGAAGAATCCAGCTGACATTGACCGTTCGTGTTCTCAGGTTTTCACGTTGTGTCACGTGTTCCCTAGTATGGGCCTGTGGGACTTCTGTACAGAAATGACTCTGCAAAAGTACTTTTTGTTACTAATTTGTCTTTATTTTTAAAATTTTTGAAGTCTTCTTTCCTTAAAACACGGAAATGCTTGTTCCTAGTTTCTCCTTTGAACACTTAAAACTTACTCAGCTTTTCTAACTTCTGACTTACTTATTTTGGGCATTTATCCATCTTTAAGAAAATTAAAATCAGCTTTCATTTGTGTTCATCGTGACCAAAAAACACTTTCTAAAATGCAGTGCAACTAAAAATTCAATATAGTAAAAGTTTTGAAAAAAAGATGGACACTGTTTATTTTCTATCATGCCTTTATTAGAGTCACTGGCCTAAGGTATCTCCTGTAACACATTGTGAAGTTTAGTTGACTTAGAATCAGTTTTCATTGTCCACAAGTGGTGCACTAGATCTCTAGATTTTTAGGTTCAGAGTCTTAGTTCCCATTTTAGGTGCAATTTTAAGATTAAATTGAATTTGGAGCTGTGTTGCTTTGGGTAGATTTTTCTCATTTATCCGAAAAGATTATTTCATCTTCTCACTTGGTTGTGTCCTCTGTGCCAGATACTCAAAAGCGATGTCTCCTCCTACCTTGCTAGATGTTGTCATTGCACTAATTTCTTCACTCATCCTCTCGTATCCTCTGTAACTGATAATTCAGCAATTATGTTTTAATTCACCTCCTCTCAGCTGGTTTGGTATCATGAACCTGGAGATGCCGTGGCTGTGTTTTATTTGGAGATTCCTCGTTGATGCGTTGTTTTGACCGAGTTCACGGATGTTCCGTCTTCCTGTGGTATTGAACACTGAATGTGGGTGAGGGGGAGAAGGTACAAATACAGCTATGGTATGGAAAAGTTTGTTACCATATAAGTAAGTGTCAGGAAGTTAATCTATTTTAAAGTTAAGAAGCCCTGAAAATGATATGTTATTCATGTTCCAATAGAAGACCCAATTTTTGAATGTCTTGTTTCTTGATGTGTAAATTGTCAATGAAAGGCTAAAGTGTTTTCATAATATTTTGTATAAGCCTTTGCTGTTTAACCCTTTCACTAAGGAAGACAAAAACGTTGATTAACTCCAGAAGGGGTATTTTAGTGGCTTGTTTATCATGAACTGGAGCAAACTCTGGAAAGTGCCTTCTGTGCATTTCACTTGTATAAACGAAGCGTGTTTACCCATGTGCATCATCTCAATTGATCTGGGCGTAACAAAGATGTCAGGATTCACTGTAAAGCATCCCAGGAAAAATCCTGAGGCAGTGTGTTAAAATTTTGCCACTCTGATGTCACGGCTGGATGTTCCAGTTGCAGTTGCAGAAACAACATATTGACCCACCTCTCTTTAGTAACTGGTACCCACGCAGATGTGTGTTTAATGTCACAGGCCAAAGTCCATGGAGCCAGCAGTAAAACAACAGTAAAAAGGAACAAAACACAAGAATGACTGCATGCTTCTCCATAGGTGTGGAGCAGCCTATTTCCCTTATGGTACAGTTGCTATTCGTGAACTTGGAGAGGAGGAAACCTGAGGTGGATTTGAGTAACCAGAACTTCAGAGAATTCTGCCAGATGGCAGATGCTTAGATGTAACAAAGGAGATAAATTTGCTTTTAACAGCATGTACATATTTTGGTTGATCAAATCTAGGCTGCTATTATAGTTCTCTGATTTCATCTAGATGGCAGGAACATCAGATTTACACTGGAGAACTGCTTAATACCTCATTCTCCAATTTGGTTAGTATTTTCTCTAATATCACTTAACCTTACTTTTCACTCATGTTTCAAAGATGTCTGTGCAGTCTTTATATGTAAAAGGTCTTACCTTATTTCTTGTCTGCTGGGTTTCACAGACAGAATGAAAAAAAAACCCCCATCTCTAATTGCAGCAGCTGCAACAGCGCTTGGGATTCGATAACTGCAGCTTCCTTTGGAGAAGCCACGTGTATCTCTTTTGGAACAAGGAAGTAAAAATTGGGAGGAGAATTTTTTTTTTTTAAAGAAAAAAGGTAAGGTAGAAGTTACAAACCCCTCCATTGCTAAGAGCAGGCAGAATCATTTTTGACTCTGTTATTCAGGAGAGCTGACCCGCTCCTTGCTGCGGAGACGCCGCGTCGTTTTCAGCTGCAACGAGGAACATTGCCCCTCGTGGGTGACACTGTCTGACCCCACAGGAGGGCACGGGACGGCCTTGCCGTTGGAACTTTTTTGCTTCAAGGTGTAAAAAACACTATTGTACGTTTTCGAAGCCTCGTTCCTTCAATTAGGGGTGTTTGTGTTGTTTTAAAACCATTCCATTTGCTACTCTGTAAACTGGCGGATCTGAAGTTCGCTTTTCACGCTGCTGCCCTGGCGAGAAGGCAGTGGGGTTATTTTTCTGTTCTTCTCTCCTGCATGTGCTTCTGGAAATCCAACTAGTTTTTTGTCTTTGTCATGGAAAAGAAGCGAAGCCTGCTGCGGTCTGCTTTGGTTTTAATAAAGTGTACACAGTAGCAAAGTGCATTTTTTTGGTTTTTGTTTGTTTCGATGCTCCCTTGGATGTTGGCAGATGTATATATTTAGATATACCGCACTGTTGTACAAGAGTTGTTTTAGTAAATAACACTATTTGTAAAAAAAACTGTTAATTGTTTTTGGTATGAATGCAAAATATTAAAGTTGGAGTATTTAGTTCATTATGTTGCAAAGTCAATTTATAAATTTCATGGCAGAATGAGAAAAGGCCTCCCGTTGCTGGAAGGAGTTGGAGATGGACAGGCAAGGTCTGTTAGAAATACTTAGCTCGGATTTTCTGATTTCAGGCATGGTGTAGGGGGGGATTTTTGTTGTTCTGGGGGATTTTTTTGGTGGATATTTTTGGATTATGCTTCAATGTTATCTTTATTTTTGAAATCTTTCATCTGTCAACTTCCTTCAGCTAAAATTCAAATAATGCATTATATATCCCATTTCAAATATGCTGCATGTCCTCTTATTTTTGTAATAGAGACAGCATGAATATTTTAAAGGAGTGTTAAAAACAACTATATCTGTACAGTCTGATGTATATATTCGCTTACAGATCAATGAGCAAATACTGCTGGCAGCTTGGCAGTTAATTTCCACTGTTATTTGACAGTTACTTCCATTTCTGATGGTAGTAATGCGAAGTAGTGTTAAGACTTGGTGGCTTGATCTCTGTGAAATGAGTTGAAGATCAGGCTGAAGTTGATGAATCTAGATTACTGCTTAAAATACTGTCTCGGTTGAAACGCTGGTCCTGACAGATGTGTGCTGTGTTCTCAAAACAATGTTCAACTTCATAGGTTTCTTACTTAAACCAATATAAGTACACAGATCACCATGGGACTTTGGGAGCAGTGAGTTTATCGGTTGGGCCTGTTCTTAGAGTCTCTTCCTAAAAACGGGAGCTGAACGCCGTAGGGTAAGTCATTCTGTGGGCTGTGGGTTAACTCGGTATGATAATTTCTGTGTTTCAAGAGAATATAGGTTCAATTGACAGAATTAAAAGACCTACAGATTGAGTAGAAATGAAATTTGAGGGGAGACCTCCTCGCTCTCTCCAACTCCCTGAAAGGAGGGTGTAGCCAGGGCGGGGTCGGTCTCTTCTCCCATGAAACAGGCAATGGGACAAGAGGAAATGGCCTCAAGTTGCCCCAGGGGAGGTTCAGGTTGGAGATTAGGAAAAATTTTTACATGGCAAGGGTAATTAAGCCTTGGGATGGGCTGCCCAGGGAAGGGGTTGAGGCCCCATCCCTGGAGGTATTTAAAAGAGGGGTTGACATGGTGCTTAGAGACATGGTTCAGTGATGAGTTTTATCGGAGTTGGCTGATGGTTGGACTCAATGATCTTAAAGGTCTGTTCCAACCCAGACGATTCTATGATTCTGTGAAACACATCACGTGTCTGATTTGGAACAGGGAGGGGGAATTCATATTGAATTTGCTTTACTGCTTCTCTTTTGGGCAGAAAGTGTGTTTCTGCTGAGGTGCCTGTGATGAAAATACAGTTGGAGAGTTTCTCCCGTAGTATTTTAATCTGCTGCCGTGAATCTGGGAAACAGGTGAAATAAGCATCAGTCTGTGTCCAGGGAGGTCACAGCAACTCTCTTCACTTCAACTTTGACTGATCTGTTCCCCTGGTGACGTTCTCTCGTAGCGGATGCTGAAGGATCGTAGCAGGGTTCAGTCAGGTACAACCTGCACCGAAAGACAAGTGGCCTGAGGAACAGAGGAAATATGATGATTGCATAAAAATGTATTGTTTTACGTAAGAACAAATGGAAGCCTCAGCTCAGCTGAGGACAGAGAAGTCCTGGTTCTCTGGAACTGTGTGAGAACAGGGTCAGCACCAACCAGCCCACTGAGACTTGCTGCCAAAACATTCAAGTAGGTGTTTTTCAGAGAAAACACAGTTGGTGTCTAAAAGATCCTTGTTAGGGGGGTGTTTGTCCAGAGGCCTCACTTTCCACCTGATGTGGTGAGGAAAAACAAGTAGTGAAGGATTTTTTGCTTTAACGGAGTCCACGTTCCCACTTCGTAACAAATTCCTTTCAGCTGCCGTGGAATCGGGATTTACATTTCCTGATTGTTTGGGTAATGACACTCAAGTAGGATTCAACATTAGTAACTTTAAAAACTCCTCCTGCTCACTTAACTGCAAAGTAGATAGTTTTAATTCAGTCATCTGTCTTGGTGAGCTTGTTCTCTCTCAAAACAGATGTGTTCTGCTCTTCAGCATTGCTTATCTTCTGGATAATCAATCACAGAATCTTCATGGTTGGT